GTAACAGGACTGAGTAATTTACCAAAAATTTAACTCGAATGAGGAGGAGTTCAATTTAAATAAAGCAAGGGTTCAAAAAGGGATTTTGCTCCTCCATGGCCTAAAAGGTGCGTACGAGTATAAGAATTGCAATGACGAGTTTCTATTGAAGATTCCTATAAAAAGAGGACACTTCTCTGTTTCCGATAGTTGGTAAATAGTGGTAGTACAGGCATGAGAAGCATGATTGATATAAGTTGTTTCCGTTTAAATAAATGTTTGATTGTATTAATTCTTTTACATGTTGAAATTTTTCAAGAGTCGCATTTTTATAGTGAAATATGTTAAAATTATAAGTGGGCTCATATTAATTAGTCAATTTTCTTAATTTTTTTTATTGGTATTTTTTGTATTGTATGGTGCCTTTTTGGTATGGACAATTGCTTGCGAATTTTTTTCTAAGTTATATAGTGTCTTCAGACGTGGATAATTATTAGTATATATATATATTGATGATGTTCTTAACATGACTGAACAATGATGTTAATATAAAGTACACCAAATTATTGGATCAATTCACTGTGAACCCTAAAGGTCTATGGAATAGTATTTAGGAGATAAGTGAGTAATTACGCAGAGTGTTTATATTAATTCACCAGCTTGAGAGTTTGACTAATTCATTCTAAAAGGAGTCTCTTACTCCTGAATATATTGATTACTGTATAAAGTTTATAAAGAATATTTTGTAAGGCTACAATGACTTTTGAATATTTTATAGGGTTTTGTCTCCTATTTATACCTATCCTTGGGTCTTGCTTGATTTGAGAAGAGATTATCACACCTTCATTGTAACAATTACTCTTATCGCGCAACGAGACTTGTGCCTGATGGGTGATTTGATGCTATAGAAAAGGGAACTTGGTGGGATCCAGTTGTCCTTCACACCGCCTTCTTCAAGATGTGGACACATGGAATTAGAGTTGGAGTCGAGGTCTGTAAATAATATAGTTAAGTTGGGCTCTCGACTTGAGAAACATGACCTGAGTGACCGACCTCATCATTAGATATTTTTGAGTGGTACCATCATATATATATATATATATATTGGCGTAACTTTAATCTAATACACACTTTTGGTCATGATAAATATTCTAACAATATATTTCTTCAAACTCATACGTAGTACATAATGTATGGGTACAAGTAACAACTCGTAAACTATATATCGATTAAATTTGTATTTGATACAATTTAGAGAACTTTAAGTTTGCAATGTTAGAATTTATCCTTGTTGCTTGTAGGAGCAGAAAAATGTATTAAGATGCAAGACTAAATTTCCATAATGAAACATAAAACCAATATTCATTGGCCTAAACCAAATATAATGAAAATAAACGACACAAAATACATATTTCTTAGTATATTTCAACTTAATTATGTATTAAAATGGAACACCATGTTCTTACAAATCTAAAAAAAATTGTCTATAATTGACTAATTCTGAGTTTAATTTCTCGGTAATTTCTTTTTAATGTACACAATTAAAGAACCAGTGAAAAAATCGGTGTTCATTTTATCGTAGAACTTAATTGAGATCATGTTGTATCTTATCGAGAAATTCATTATTTGAAATTGTAGAAGATACTTTGGGGTTATGACATTTTGCTTTTTAACCTTTAATTGTGTTTTACCGGGTAACTAAATGATAACTTACCATAAAATGGTCAAGTAGGAGTGAACAATTAATTTTCTAAAAAAATTGGATAATTTTTAGATAAAAGAAATTTGTTGTTTTGGGTCAATGTTATTAAATGCAACAAAAAATTTCCCATATATTTTCTTTAATCGAAAAAAAAATAATATTTGTTTTAGGCCGTCATTGAGCAACTGGCTTACTAATAATAAAAAAAGATTAAGAAATTTTTAAAAATGATTCAGTAGTTGAGTTTGACTTTTAATAACTCAAATGTCTCAAACTCAATCGTTTCTCACACGTCCCTCAAGGTTAGTCATTCTTGTTCCTTGAAAACATACTTTATCCCAGCTCATGTCATGGTGGCCACTGTTGACCTCGAGGGAGTAATCGATGTAAGCTGAATACCTTGTAACAAAATAAAAAAAAAAGTTATTTAAATTTTTAAAAAATTGAAGGGGTTAAAAACATAAAATGAAACAAAACTATGGTCCCCTGTAGTATATATACAAAGGTGAGCCGAAAGTATGCTCCTTCAATTTAAGAAGAGAGAAGTAATCAATTTTCTTGTTCATTCAATATTTAATTATAGAGAGCATCAAATTTAAAGGGAAAACGAAGGCTATTTAAGCTTCAAGTCACAAACTCTTTCAGCTCGAAGCTAAATTGTATTTATGGTGAGTAATTGTTCTAAAATAATCTGATAATTTTGATTGATTTGGTTTAAAAATTTGATATTGTTTAAAATTGTTGTTGTTAAAAATATAAATAAAACTGGTTTGAATACCAACCGTTGAACCAATATATATATAATAAAGTAGCTTACAATTTAAATTTTAAAAAATAAACAAAATGACTTTTGCTATTCGCGGTTAAGACTGCTTTAGATTTTACTTTAAAGTTAATCTAACGACTAATATTAACACTCTAAATTTAAGAAAAAATAGTCTCTTAAGGATGTGTTTAGAGTGATTTTTTTTAAAAAATTTTAGAAATTATTTCTCATAAATACTACTTGAAAAAAATTGTGTTTAAAATTATCCTACCACCACCACCACTCCCACAACCATTGTTGCTGCCTCCACCGCCTCCGTCACCACCGCCACCGTTACCACCATCGCCGCCACCGCCCTTGTTGCTGCTTCTGCCGCCACCCTCACCCCCACCGCCTCCACCAACCCCCCTACTGTCGACACCACCCCTACCACTGCCGCCACCCCCACCCCCACCCCCCACTGTCACCACCATCATCGCCATCACCACTATCACCGTGACCACCGCTACTATCACCGTCGCCGTCATCACCACCACCATCACCATCGCCGTCGTCACCACCACCACCGCCACTGCCACCCCCGCCACCATCGCTGCCACCACCACCACCACCACGGTCATTGCCACCCACCACAACCAACACTGTCTCCCACCAACACCACTGCCTCTCACCCCCTCTACAAACTGATGCGTAAATTATTTTTTCTTTTTTCTATATTTGTGATTTAATTTTGAATATAAATACAAATATATTTATTGTTTACTATTTTTTATTACTTTGTGTCTTCAAGTACATGTAATAACTAGTTTATATACTAAAGTTGCTTACAATTTAAATTTCAAAAGATAAATAAAATGACTTTTGCTATTCGCGGTTGAGATCACATTAAATTTTACTTTAAAGTTAATCTCACGACTAATATTAACACCCTAAATTTAATAGGAAAAATAGACTCTTAAGGGTGTGTTTGGAGTGATTTTTTAAAAATACTTTTAAAAATTATTTCTCAAAAGTAATTTTTAAAAAAAATAGTATCTGAAACCGATCCACCACTACCTCTACCACCACCACCTCCACCATCACTACCTTTACTACCACCGTCGCCACCACCATCACCGCCACCGCCACCACTGTCGCCGCCACTATCACCACCACCGTCACCGTTGTTGTCGCCACCACCATTACTACCTCCATCACTACCACCATTGCCGTCTCCCTTACAGCTATCGTTGTCACCACCATCGCCACCATGGACATTGTCACCCACTACAACCATCATTGTCTCCTACCACCACCTCTCACTCTCATTATAATCGATACTTAAATTTATTTATTTCTCCTCTATATTTGTGATTAGATTTTGAATATAAAAGAAAAAATGTTTATTGTTATCATTTTTATTACTATGTGCCTTCAGGCACAGATAATAACTAGTATAAAATAAAGTAGCTTACAATTTAAATTTCAAAAGATAAACAAAATGATTATTGCTATTCACAGTTGAGATCGCTTTAAATTTTACTTAAAAATTGATCTAACGGTTAATATTAACATTCTAAATTTAATAGGAAAAATAGATCTCTAAAGATGTGTTTGAAGTAACTTTTTAAAAGTACTTCTACAAATTATTTCTCATAAATATTTTGAAAAAAAAGATAGTGTTTGAAATCGTTTCACCACTACCACCATCGCCACTGCCCCTACCCTCATCGCCACCCCCACCACAGCCTCCACCCCTATCGCCGCCATTACCACCACCACCACCGCTGCCCCTCGCCGCCACAACCATCATCGCCGTTGCCATTACTACCACCATCTTCTATCACCACCACTGTCATCTGTCATCTCTCACCCTTACTACAAACTGATGTTTAAATTTAAATATATTGATTATTTATCATTTTTTATTACTGACAATAACTAGTATATATATATAGCTCATAGTTGTTTAAGTGATAGGATACCTTTAAAAAGTGGTATTTTACTTCAAAAAAGTGGTACCTCATTCCCGAGCAACGGCAACTTACGTTACAAAAATGGTATAATCAATTCTAAAAAAAATGGTAATCTTATCAAAAAAACAATAACCTTACATACAATAAATATTTTTACTAACCAAACCTCAATTACCCGTAAGGCAATTAGAACCCTTACTTCATTGTATACACAGGATAATCTTATTCTAAAAAGTTTTAAGTGTATTTTTTTCATTAAATATAAGATTATTATAATCTCAATTTACTAATTAATTTATAATTTCTTGAATGGTTCATTGAGATAAAATAAATTTTACAACGTCATCTTCTTTTTTATCCTTCTTCTTCGTTCTTATCTAATTTTTTTTTTTTTATAAATTTGTCAACGCTCAATCCTAATGTGAGAGGGTAGCTGATAAAATATAAAATAATATTTTAAAATTTATCAATGGTTGTAACTCTTTAATTATAAATTAATAGTGAATGTTGATTTTTGATACCATACAAAAAAAAAAAAAAGTAAAAGTAGGGACCATACAAATAGCCCTAAGATTGCACCAGTTAGGCTGAGACTGAGAGATGGCACAGTGTGATTCAAACCATAGTCATCCTTTTCCCCTGTAACTGCTGACTCTCTCTCTCTCTCTCACCTAGCTCTCCGTTTACTCCTACGACCGTGGAAAACCCTCCCCTCCTTCAACATTGACTTCCTGTGACTTTTGTACACAATTCAGCTTCTGGCGTTTTCAAATGGATCCCACTGGTCGGTTTCTTCATCTGCACCATCCTCAACCTTTTCTCTCACCTTTCCTTCTCAAGAATCTCTGCAACAAACAACAAATTTCGTTACTTCCTCGAAAATTCCCCTACTCCTTAGGTCCTCTCTCTCTCTCTCTCTCTTATGTATTCATGTTTTGCTTTTTATTATCCAATTGTTCCGTCTTGATTGAGAATTGGAATCTATTTGTTTGCAGAAGTTAGTTTTCTAGGGTTTCCGATTCAGCTTCATCCGGTTATTCCAGGTAAAGTTCACACTACTTATGCTACTCATCTCTCTGATTACGCGCCTTTATTTGAAATTTGTCCACTTTAGCAAAAGCTTGTTCATAGTGTGCTTTTCTTTTTCTTCTTCTTCTTTTTTAAATAGTTGGGAGATCACGAGTATTAGTTGGCAGATGTGCATCGGACAAGTTCTCTGACTCGTTCCACACTGATCTTTCTTCAAACGATGCATCTGAACCTCCTCAGGTATTGCCTATATTTTTGTTATTTAAGTTTTTGAAAATATTATTTTTAATACATTGAATGTACAAATATTTGTGTTTATGGAATTGCATCAAGCCAGTTGATAGTCAGTGCTATTACAGTGATTGCAGTTAATAATGGTTTATTATTTCAGCTGTTATCATTTTCTCATCACTTATGCTGTTCATATAGAATGGCTCTGAGAATTTTTTATGCCAAAAACTTTAAGCACTTATCCAAGGGGAAAAAATTCCTGAGAACGTTAAACAAATTAGTTTTGGGATTCAGAAATATAATTGTGAACTTATTAGTTTAGGTTAAACTTACAATAATACCAAATGGAGACTTCGTCAAATTCATCTTGGTTTTCAGTATCTTCAGGCTTATTGACTTCATCTTCCCTTTGTCCCTTTCTATTCCTAACAGCTCTTTCATTGAGCATATTTTTATTTTGTGAAGAGTCTAGTCTAACTGACCTAATTAATAGGTTTCTTTGTTAAAAACATGAACTAGTTGTGGTAATGGAAAAACACTTGAATTTTCATAGATTTCGGCATTTTATATGCTTACATAACAGCCCCTTAGAAAAAGACATAAAGAGGAAAATAGAAAACAGAAACAAATTGAACTTGCTGTTCTCTGTTGGGTGTGGTGAACTCAGTATTTGGTAATTGCAAAGTTTTACGGTAGACACAATGGAAGTGGTATATTTCTATCTGATTTGATGAGTTGTTGTAGATGCTTGAGCAAAAGGAGGCTTCTTTTGTGACAATTTTGAAAGGAGCAAATTCTGTTCTTCCTCAAGTGGTCCTTGCCAGTACGATTTTGGCTCTTATATATCCACCTTCTTTCACATGGTTTACTAGCAGGTTGTTTACCATTTTATAATGATTAAGGTTGATTTATGTACTGTAATGTGTATAATCTGTTAGATGCCATGGGAAATAGTGCCTTTTAATCCCTCTAAATTTTCCATGAAATATGGTTATCTGCTACCATGACAAAAGTTTTATATACAAACTATTTTTTTTTTGGTCGTGAATATACAAACTACTTGAACTTCCAGTCTTTTGCTCTGTATACTAAACTGGACTATTTTCCAGGTATTATGCCCCAGCCTTAGGTTTTCTGATGTTTGCAGTAGGAGTTAATTCTAGCGAAAAGGATTTTCTTGAAGCATTCAAAAGACCAGCAGCTATTTTTGCCGGTTATGTTGGCCAATTTGTTGTAAAGCCTCTTCTTGGATATCTTTTTGGCACAATTTCAATGACTATGTTGGGTCTCCCTACTTCCTTAGGTAAAGGGATTTCCTATCTTGTGAAAATTGGTGAATGCATTCTAACTAGTGTACCCAGTGAAACAATAAATATGTACTAACTTCCATAAATTTATGATTCAGCTGCTGGGATCATGTTGACTTCTTGTGTTAGTGGAGCCCAGCTCTCAAATTATGCCACTTTTCTAACGGATCCCACTATGGCCCCTCTAAGCATAGTGATGACATCGTTGTCAACCGCAACTGCAGTTTTTGTCACTCCAATCTTGTCATTGCTTCTTATTGGCAAGAGGTTACCTGTTGATGTAAAAGGAATGGTGTTCAATATTCTACAGATTGTAGTTACTCCCATTGCTGCTGGCTTGCTACTTAATAGGTGACGAGATGATTTCAAATATCTCTTATTATGATAAATCATACGAGTTGTTACCTATTTTCTTGCATCTACAGATTCTTTCCTCAGATTTCCAACACTATACGGCCATTTTTGCCTTCCCTAGCTGTATTGGTGACTGCTCTCTGTGTTGGAGCTCCACTTGCTATCAACATAGAATCTGTTCTGTCTCCTTCTGGAATATCTGTTTTGTTGCTTGTTATTGCATTTCATTTGTCAGCATTTATTTTAGGATACACCCTTACTGGCCTGATCTTTCGCAAAGCCCCTGATGTAAAACTGCTGCAGAGGACATTATCCTATGAGACAGGTGGTTACACTTCACCAAAATCATGGCAATAAAGAAAAAGAAAAAAAAAGAGTGTGTTTCTTAAGCTGATTGATCCATACATATTTCTGTCTTGTAGGTATGCAGAGCAGTCTTCTGGCCCTTGCACTTGCAAATAGGTTTTTCCAAGATCCACTAGTGGGTGTGCCTCCCGCCATATCTGTAAGTTGATGTTTCACTGATTAACAACTTAGGTCACTATGTTGACCTGAAATAGAAAAATCTGATGTAGAATTGTCTCCTTTCTGTAATGAGAACCACAGGGGATGTAGCCCCTGAAAAAGAAATGGTAATTGTGGTTGGATTGTGGATGATGCGACTTTATTCCTCATTTCTTTCATTTGGTGAGCCAATTAAGTGGGGTAAATCTGTCAGGTGTTGTAATAGTGATATGACTCGAAGCTTAGGAATCAGCATCACCGACTAGTCCAGCTTTTCTTAGAATGATGTTACGTAAATTACATCAATTATATAGGCAATGTGTCTCCAACATTAGCTTTATCTACATCTTGCTTTTGTTAAGGTGTAGCTACAAATGGATGGTGGCAGCTGCNTCTTATTGGCAAGAGGTTACCTGTTGATGTAAAAGGAATGGTGTTCAATATTCTACAGATTGTAGTTACTCCCATTGCTGCTGGCTTGCTACTTAATAGGTGACGAGATGATTTCAAATATCTCTTATTATGATAAATCATACGAGTTGTTACCTATTTTCTTGCATCTACAGATTCTTTCCTCAGATTTCCAACACTATACGGCCATTTTTGCCTTCCCTAGCTGTATTGGTGACTGCTCTCTGTGTTGGAGCTCCACTTGCTATCAACATAGAATCTGTTCTGTCTCCTTCTGGAATATCTGTTTTGTTGCTTGTTATTGCATTTCATTTGTCAGCATTTATTTTAGGATACACCCTTACTGGCCTGATCTTTCGCAAAGCCCCTGATGTAAAACTGCTGCAGAGGACATTATCCTATGAGACAGGTGGTTACACTTCACCAAAATCATGGCAATAAAGAAAAAGAAAAAAAAAGAGTGTGTTTCTTAAGCTGATTGATCCATACATATTTCTGTCTTGTAGGTATGCAGAGCAGTCTTCTGGCCCTTGCACTTGCAAATAGGTTTTTCCAAGATCCACTAGTGGGTGTGCCTCCCGCCATATCTGTAAGTTGATGTTTCACTGATTAACAACTTAGGTCACTATGTTGACCTGAAATAGAAAAATCTGATGTAGAATTGTCTCCTTTCTGTAATGAGAACCACAGGGGATGTAGCCCCTGAAAAAGAAATGGTAATTGTGGTTGGATTGTGGATGATGCGACTTTATTCCTCATTTCTTTCATTTGGTGAGCCAATTAAGTGGGGTAAATCTGTCAGGTGTTGTAATAGTGATATGACTCGAAGCTTAGGAATCAGCATCACCGACTAGTCCAGCTTTTCTTAGAATGATGTTACGTAAATTACATCAATTATATAGGCAATGTGTCTCCAACATTAGCTTTATCTACATCTTGCTTTTGTTAAGGTGTAGCTACAAATGGATGGTGGCAGCTGCTGTTTTATTGGTGGATGATACAACAAGAACTAGGAGGCCCTAAACTTGCATTAATCTGTACCCACATATAAAGCTGAACTTTGAACTTGTAGCTGACCCAGAGTTGAGGCCTGGCACAGAGAGAGAGAAAGAGAGAGAGATGTCTTTTTTACCCTGGGCACCCCGCATGAAACACGAAACCATTTGTGCAACCAAATGATATTAAAGGAAAATGGAAGAAAAATGTAGTGATAATACTGCTTTGATTTCTAAACATGGTCGACTTTAAAAGATTGTATATATTAGTTGCCTACCCACAACAAGAGGTCATATACTTTTGTTACGTCATACTCTACAAGTTTGAATGCATAGGAAAAAATTGTGAATGTCATGAATGACTATAGAATCTCTTGTCTATGTAAATTTCCTCAGATTTTGAACTGTACCAATGTTTCTGCCATTTGCAGGTGGTAATCATGTCGTTGATGGGCTTCACTCTCGTAATGTTGTGGACCAAGAGAGAAGTAGTAGTGAGATGAAACAGAAAATCCTACAGCTACTGCATCTGCTGTCATGGTGTACACAAGGCTCATAAGGAGACTAATGAGGACACCTGAAGTTGGAACCATTTGAAGGCAGTTCGGGGCAGTATTATTAGGGATGACATTCTGGAAATGGAACATGACTTGTATTGTGGATTTAAGAAGCATAAAAGCCAATCTGTAAGAATGTCAAAAAGGTCTAAAATTTTATACAGTGTGAAATGCATTTCATTTCTCCTGTTGTAGTCAGTTTCTCGTGCAGATGCCAATGTAATAATTCTTGGGTGTATGGTTTAATCATCTCTCTCTCTCTCTCATATTCATTACAATGGTGATACTACGTGGTATCACTGACCAATAATATCAAAACAAATAAGCAAATGGGTCCTACGAAAATTAATAACCAACTCTCTATGTAAGTAAATTATTACCCACTCTTCTCCTATGTAAGTAAATAACTATCCAAATGAAGTTTATTTTGTTCACTTGATAGTTTATTATTGATTGGTGATACTACGTTAGCATTTTATTATTGATTGTTGATATGGGATCACCATTGCATTCAATATTTACTCTTCTCTCTTGCAAAATTTTTGCGGTGAAAATGCATTAGGGACCACTAGTTCGTGTGTGTGAAGGGTCTTGGAGGGAGATAGACAAACACTAAGAACCAATTTTTGCACATGGTGAGGTTACTAGGCTCTCAATCTTTTCCGAACTGCTTCAAGCCATTTCTTCTTGACGTTATTCCTTCATGTGATGGTAATCTGGAACTCATTTGTACAAGTTTGGGAGTTAGGTTATCATTACATGAAACGTAATCTACGTATTTGTAATTTGCCAAAAAAAAAAAAAAACTGGGAAAATGAAAATGTCATGCGATTTTCGTGACTCGAACTTGGACTGATGGTAAGTGTTCATAACTCAAACGATATTATGGTTCAAGTATGAAAATCAACCTTGTAATTGTAAGTAGGAGTTAAGACCGCCAACCAAATGCCCAGAAACGGATTGACTGGGCCCCAAAGGCCCACAATAGGCTAGAACTTGGCCTTTAACTGGTAAGTGGGCTGGGCTAGTCCGTCCACAAAACTTATGGTCCGTTAGCGTCGCTCCAAGATTCAGGAGCTTCTATATATAGATGTGTGCCAAATTGAATTTGAATCTCCCTCCTATTTCAGTCTCTCTGTCTGTCCGATGGTATTCTAGGATTTACAAACACCGAACTTACGTTAGCACTATAATCTTTGGAGGAAACAAATGACGAGGAACAAACTGAAAGCTTCATCATTTACTATAATATAGAAATTCTTTTAAAACTGTAGACAATGCCAATTCCCGGTTGAAAGTAAAGGCTTTTTAACTCGTCTTCTTGTCGTCCGATGATTGCAAATGCCCGAATGGATTAAGCTATATTTAAAACAAGAGGTTGTCCTATTTTCTGCTGGTGAGTTTGTCAACCAATTGGTTTGACCTTAACCTTCTTAGTTTCTTTATTATATTTTTTTTCAAAGAAAGATTGCTTGATTTTATCATAGGATTACCACATATGTAGACTTTTTGATTTGTCTTTCGTATTTCCTATTTAACGTTTGCTTCGATTAATTTAATTCTTCTTTTTCATAGCGTCGATGTTAAGTTGTTGTTAACAATAAACATGATGTTTACTAGAAAAAGTTATGTCAATTATGCTTGTTATTCTTGCTGATCTCTTGCAGTAAATGATCACACGAGACAAAGCTGAAATTGCTCGAGTTTTTCGAAATATATGATCAATATTGTGATGTGGAAAGTTGCAAAAGAAAAAGTAGGGAGGAAGAAAAGTCCCAAATGGTATAAGTTGAACTCGAGGTGAAGAATGAAAGAAGGCACCTTGTGTTCCCCTAAGATGTCCTGGACAAACAATAGGTCAAAAGCACTGGGATGCCCCCTCCCCAAGTATAGACCCAAGAGAACTGAGTGATTTAAAACATGATATTATGAACCAGAGGCCATGGTTTTGACCTTATGTATATCTTTTTAGAGGCCTAGTGGGATGGCTCTCGAAATCAACATAAATTATTGCTTGACTATGGATGTGGGGAGTTGGTATCTGGAGCAATGAATAAATATTCATCTGTCCAAGTGATACATCCTTGGTTTGATTTGTGAGGGGGAAGGAAGAAAGTTCATGATCATATAATCACCCGAGGAAATGATCGTCAAGACCATGTCATATAATCTTTCTCTACATAGCAATACCTATCATAACTTCAGTGTTGATTTTGTTTAGGTATTATATGAAATTAATTAGTGAGGCCATGCTTGGATGTAGCAAAATAAGATTATTTCATTGCAACCCGTGTCATGAGTTCGAGAAATAAAAACAGTTTTTTCGCACACGGAGCAACATTGAATACATCTGACACTGTTTTGATGTCGCAATAACGGTATGCTCGTGGACTATGCTGGCTTTTATATATAGTTAATTGGTGATGGAAAAAAAGGTCTTGAGCCAGCAGCCTTTGGACTTTTGAGGATCCCTCCTTTTGATTTTGTTGCTTGACGTGTAAGAACCTTGGATTCTAACCATCACCGCTCGAGGGTCAAAACTCAAAAGGGGAGGAAAAATGTTTTGCAATACTTTCTTAAAGAATGTTCTAGGTTGTGTTAACATCCAGGGGAGAATATGAATTGAAGAGTTTATTGGATACAGCTTATGAACAATTTGTGATCACTTATAAACAAACAACTTAAGTACTGTGTTAAACATAGTCTCTTTTTTGCATCAGAACTGTGTTTTGTGATCATATGCTCAATAAACTGTGACATGATCTATAAAGTTTCATCTCAGTGACCAGGATCTTATTCACCAAGTGAAACAATGTCATAAGATCAAGTTCCATTCTAAGCAAATGGTTTCTCTCTTCCGGATTTTAAAAATAAAAATAAAGATCGTGATTGTGACAATATGTATAATGTGTTTTTTGTTTGTTACAGGGACATCTAAGGCCTTCGGTCTGTTAATCCTCTCGACTTGCACTGGTTAGTAATAAGCTAAACCTGGTAGATGATTGGCCTCAAGCAGCTGTGCGTGGAGTATCGATCCTGGGATAAAAGGTTTAGGTGTCGAGATTGACATACTGGTAAAGTAACTTTTATAGTTTTTGTATTTCTTTATTTAATCATACATATAAGAGAAGAAAATGGGTTGGGTGACTATTTTTTAATAGTAATATATATAAGTTCGAATGCATACCTAATGCACTTATTATGAACATCCTTGTTATAAGATCATACTTGGAGAAAACGAACCACCTGAAGGTCCTGAACAATAAAAAAAAAAAAAAGAGGAAGAAGAAAAAAAGAAAAATCTTCGTCTCCAATTCAAGACTTACTTTCTTTGTCTCTTCGTTCACTCACTTTTCATATGGTTGATGTTTCTCTAACCTTTTCATCTCTGATAACCCATAAAAGGAAGCATAATCCACTTATATACAACGGCACGCACTTGAGAAATCCCTACATTATTAAGGTTACTCCCTTATGACTTTCCGGAAAAAACAACTCTCTCAACACTTGCAAACTGCTGAATGTTTTACTGTATATGGTACTACAGAGAGGTTAGGTCTTGACGCAATGATAAGGTTGCTACTTGATGTGGTGATTATCATATTTGAACTAAGAAAACGTCTTTCCTCACACAAGAAAATCTCGCAAATTGTTTATTCTTTTTCAATAAGACGTTATTATTGAGCATACTGTGATACATCTAGTTAACTGTCCCGCTCTTCCCCTCCACTAAAAGGACAAGGTTGAATACAACATCTAATCCTCGTTTTCAAATAAAATTCCTTTTTTCATACAACAAATATTGCCCCATAAAATACAAAAAACCCCATTTTTTCTTATTGCAGCCCAACAAAAGAGGGAGGGAAAGATAGATGCTAAAGAACTAAAACAAAAGGTGCAAATGGAGGAAATTTATGTTCCTCATCATACTATTGTTTATCAGAACTAGGAAAGGGTGTTTGAGACACAGTCGAACCGAGAGAATTTCTTTTGAACCTCAGACATCAAAGCAAGGTTCTCTTGGTAGAGGATGGTAGCCTTCTTCCTCAATTTTTCATTCTCTTCTAGAATACTGATGTTCTCCATATACAACTTCAAATTCTTTAGTTCCATGTCCTCCCCAACACCTTCTTCTTCAAATCTTCTCCTCCTGCTAGACCTGCACAACCATAATGCATCAGTATGCAACAAAAGAAGCATATAGTATGAGGATATACAGAGTTTTTTGCCTATTAGAATCCACCTAATAAATCTCTGAACTTGAACCCTACATCTCTTTGACCGTTGCCTTCTCATATAGCAGACGCCGCTACGTGATGAAATCCATTCAATGGCACCAATAGACATCTCTACAGTTCTTTACAACTTACTTGAAGAACAAAGAAGAAGAAGAAGAAGAAAGAGAAAGAATTGATTTGAAATGAGGGAGTGGAAAGTGAGAGAATAGTGTNACTTACTTTCTTTGTCTCTTCGTTCACTCACTTTTCATATGGTTGATGTTTCTCTAACCTTTTCATCTCTGATAACCCATAAAAGGAAGCATAATCCACTTATATACAACGGCACGCACTTGAGAAATCCCTACATTATTAAGGTTACTCCCTTATGACTTTCCGGAAAAAACAACTCTCTCAACACTTGCAAACTGCTGAATGTTTTACTGTATATGGTACTACAGAGAGGTTAGGTCTTGACGCAATGATAAGGTTGCTACTTGATGTGGTGATTATCATATTTGAACTAAGAAAACGTCTTTCCTCACACAAGAAAATCTCGCAAATTGTTTATTCTTTTTCAATAAGACGTTATTATTGAGCATACTGTGATACATCTAGTTAACTGTCCCGCTCTTCCCCTCCACTAAAAGGACAAGGTTGAATACAACATCTAATCCTCGTTTTCAAATAAAATTCCTTTTTTCATACAACAAATATTGCCCCATAAAATACAAAAAACCCCATTTTTTCTTATTGCAGCCCAACAAAAGAGGGAGGGAAAGATAGATGCTAAAGAACTAAAACAAAAGGTGCAAATGGAGGAAATTTATGTTCCTCATCATACTATTGTTTATCAGAACTAGGAAAGGGTGTTTGAGACACAGTCGAACCGAGAGAATTTCTTTTGAACCTCAGACATCAAAGCAAGGTTCTCTTGGTAGAGGATGGTAGCCTTCTTCCTCAATTTTTCATTCTCTTCTAGAATACTGATGTTCTCCATATACAACTTCAAATTCTTTAGTTCCATGTCCTCCCCAACACCTTCTTCTTCAAATCTTCTCCTCCTGCTAGACCTGCACAACCATAATGCATCAGTATGCAACAAAAGAAGCATATAGTATGAGGATATACAGAGTTTTTTGCCTATTAGAATCCACCTAATAAATCTCTGAACTTGAACCCTACATCTCTTTGACCGTTGCCTTCTCATATAGCAGACGCCGCTACGTGATGAAATCCATTCAATGGCACCAATAGACATCTCTACAGTTCTTTACAACTTACTTGAAGAACAAAGAAGAAGAAGAAGAAGAAAGAGAAAGAATTGATTTGAAATGAGGGAGTGGAAAGTGAGAGAATAGTGTGGTTGTGAGATCCTATAAATAGGTGGGTTTATTGATTTCAATGTGTAGTATGCGCCCATGTGGTGCCTTGGCTGGTTTACAAGTTTATAAAGACAGAAAGAGAGAAATTTCAAGTCTGGTAATGATGACAAGAGGACTCATGATTACAATGCAGTAGCCCCATCTATATCCTTGATGAAAAAGCCTAAGGGGGAGGAAAGGTCTCTGCCTTCTATATCTTCCTTGGACACATTATTTGGCAGTTTTGTGGCCTGATTTTCTAAGCGTAACTTATGAATTAATCAAATGTACCCTCCCCAGTTGTCATGACAGGTACAAGGCCAGTTCTGCAATAGAAATGAGTGTATTTTAGTCGAGGGAAATATTCCTCCATCGCGTGGAAACGATTGTTATGAAATTAAACGATGACAATAAAGTGAAATTAAATCAAAGAGCGATAAGAATGTAATTCAGACAATCACACAACACAGAATTTATGTAGTTCGGCAATTTGCTTACGTCCACGAAGCTGTAGGGGTTTCACTTTTTTCAAGAATGAATACAAAGAGGGCGGCGGTCGTACAGAATCAATCTACCAACCCTAATCACCGAATAATCAGTTTATATATGTCTTGCACACAGGGCTACAAAATGGGCCAAAAAAAATTTCCGTGGGGGCATTGCTCCCGAACTCCCCACGAGACTTGTCTATGAGTGCTACGGCTTGGGCCTATCGGTCCAAGCCTCCGCTCCATGGACTAAGTTTTAGAAAATTTTCATTAAAAAATCACACAACATTATTCGAGTCGAGTCGAGTCAACTTCCGGATTGCACACAAACTAAACTTCACAAGAAGAAACCCCAACAAATCTCCCACTTGGAGACTAGTTCAATCACCAAACATCAAACCACAATCCTCCAAGAACAGTCCATCATCCCTGCAACTTCTCCTCCTGTCCTCAAGCCAAAAGACCAACTGAAGCTGCACACAACTTAAGTTTCTCAATAATAACACCTTTAGTCAACATGTCTGTCGAGTTCTTAGTTCCACAAATTTTCTCCAGTATCAACTAACCATCATCAAGTAAGAAATGTATGAAATGATACCTAATCTGAATGTGCTTCGTCTTGGAATGAAATGCTAGATTCTTGGCAAGGAATATGACACTCTGACTATCACTGTAAAGAGTTCTCCTTTGTTTCTTTTTACTCAGTTCCTCTAAGAAACTCTATAACCAAATCATCTCCTTTGAAGCCTCTGACACTGCAACATATTCGGCTTCTGTAGTAGAAAGAGATACTGTCTTCTGCAAGTTGGAACCCCAATACAAGACAGTACCACTCAAGGTGTAAACAAAACCGGTGGTACTCTTCCAACTATCAGTGTCTCCGGTCAAATCGGCATCAACAAAACCCTGTAACTCCAAGCTATCTCTAGTGAAACACAAACATGTTTCTGAGGAACCTTTCAAGTACCTCATAATCCACTTCACAGCCTCTCAATGTTGTCTTCCTGGGTTGCTCATGTATCTACTCACAACTCTCACTGTATGGGCAATGTCCGGTCTTGTACAGACCATAGCATGCATGAGTAAACCAATAGTTGAAGCATAAAGAACCTTACTCATGTAGTCATGTTCCTCCTCTGTCTTGGGTGACTGATCTTTGCTGAGTCTGAAATGACTACCTAGCGGTGTGCTAACTGGTTTGGCTTGATCCATGTTGAATCTACTGAGTACCTTTTTCACATACTCGGTCTGCGTCAATTTCAATGTGCCCTTGACTCTGTCTCTGATGATTCTCATACCAAGGATTTGTTTTGCAGCACCCAAATCCTTCATTGCAAACTGTTTTGACAACTGCTTCTTCAGATTGTTAATCTCCTCAATGCTAGACCTTACAACGAGCATATCATCCACATACAATGACAAGATAATGTAAGAATTGTCAAATTGCCTGACATGATAACAATGATCTTCCTGACACCTGATGTACCCTGAACTGCACATAAAATTGTCAAATTTCTTGTACCACTGTCTAGAAGCTTGTTTTAGGCCATACAAACTCTTTCTCAGTTTGCAGACTAGATTCTCTTGTCCTTGAACAATGACCCGTCTGAATCATGTAAATGTCTTCCTCCAAGTCACCATGAAGGAATGCCGTCTTCACATCTAACTGCTCAAGATGCAAATCTTCAGTAGCAACAATTGTCAGTACTAGCCTGATGGTTGTGATCTTCACTACAGGAGAGAAGATCTTAAAGTAGTCAATGCCCTTTTTCTGTTAAAAGCCTTTTACAACTAGCCTTGCCTTGTACCTCTTACTGCCATCATGCTCAGTTTTCACACGGTACACCCACTTGTTGTGTAGAGCTTTCTTCCTAGATAGAAGTTTTGTCAGTTCCCATGTCTGATTCTCTAGCAGGGAGTCCATCTCATCTTTCATGGCTAACTCGCACTTGCTCGAATTCTCATCTTGCAAAGTTTCTTCATAACTCTGCGGTTCTCCACCATTTGTCAACAGGATGTAACTCAGTATAGGTGAGAATCGCTGTGGGGGTCGGATAGTCCTGGAAGACTTCTGAGTAGCTGCTGCAGGTGTGGATGGTTCAAGATCTGATTGTGGAATAATGGGAATGGGCGCACTAAATTCACTCTCACCATCACTGTCGTCTCTACACTGCACTGTGTAGCACACTCATTGATGGTTCTGTTCATGCGCTCAGCAACACCATTTTATTGTGGTGTCTCAGGAATGGTCTTCTCCATTCTGATACCTTGAATTGCACAGTACTCCTTGAATCCTCCATCAATGTACTCTCCGCCATTGTCAGACCTTAAGCATTTTAGCTTTAGGCCTATCTCCGTCTCAACTAGGGCCTTCCACTTTTTAAACACATCAAACACGTCAGATTTATGTTTCAAAAAATAAATCCATACCTTTCTGCTGTGGTCGTCAATGAACATGACATAGTCTCAGGAACCTCCAAGGGATGTCACTGGGAAGGGACCCCATACATCTGTGTGTACAAGATCCAGCTTTCCTGATTTTATAGTTCTGTCACTCTTCAAGAAACTGACATTTTTCTGCTTCCCAAGTATACAACTCTCACATATGCCCAAATCAACTGCTTTAAGTTCTGGTAGCTTGCCTTTTGACACGAGTTCCTTCATGCCTTTCTGACTCATATGACCAAGTCTGCAATGCCATAGTTTTGCCGTACTCTCTACAGTGGTGGTGGCAATAGTATCACTAGAACCGTCTTTCATGTACAAAGTGCCAGTCTTGTTACCCCGAGCTAGCACCAGTGCTCCTTTAGAAACTTTCCAGGTGCTATTTGAGAACACTATTGAGTGACCATTGTCGTCGAGCTGTCCTACAGAGATAAGATTCTTCTTCAACTCAGGAATGTGCCTAACTTTCTGCAAGGTCCACACGTTCCTATTAGGAAGTGTAATATCAACATCTCTTGTCCCCACTACCTTCAGTGCCTGTCCGTCAGCTAGGTACACTTTCCTAAAATCACCAGCAACATAATTTCGCATGATTTCTCGGTGAGAGGAGGTATGAAAAGATGCCCCTGAATCCAGTATCCAGTCATCAAATGGACTATGAACGGCAAGTAATAGTGCGTCTTGCACTTCTTCAGCCACTGCATTCGCACCATCGCCTTCTGTCTTTTTCAGATTTTTGCAGTTCTTCTTTATGTGGCCAGTTTTGCCACAATTCCAGCAAGTTGTCTACTTCTGTCCAGTTCTTGACTTACTCTTGCCCCTGTTCTTTGATTTTGATCTTCCTCTATTTGAGTAGTTTCTGTCATATGACCTCCCACGAGTGTCAACATTCAGAGCATAACTCGATCTTGAGGTCTCACCAGAATCTCTCCTACGCACCTCCTCAGCCAAAATTAAATCACAAATATCATCATATTTAAGTTCCATTTTACCAACAGAATTACTAATAGCCATCCTCATGGATTCCCAACTGTTTGGCAGTGATGCCAGCAATATCAGAGCCCGAATCTCATCATCAAATTCAATTTCAACAAATGATAATTGATTGGTAATGGTATTGAACTCATTCAAGTGATGGGTAACACACGTACCATCTGTCATCCTTAGATTGAATAACTTTTTCATCAGATGCACCTTATTATTCGCAGAAGGCTTTTCATACATACCTGACAAAGCTGCCATGAGATCTGAAATGGTCTTTTCCTTGGTAACGTTGTGTGCTACTGATCTTGAAAGGGTCAATCAAATAACCCCCAGAACTTGTCGGTCTAACATTTTCCAGTCTTCATCCTTCATGCTCTCTGGTTTCGTCCCTAATAGTGGAAGATGAAGTTTTTTCCCATAGAGGTAGTCCTCTATCTGCATCCTCTAGTACTCGTAATCTGTGTCATCGAACTCCTCAATCCCAGATGTCTTCACTTCTTCTTCAGTCATTATTTATTGCAGACCTGAATCTGGCTCTGATACCAATTGTTATGAAATTAAACGATGACAATAAAGTGAAATTAAATTAAAGAACGATAAGAATACAATCCAGACAATCACACAACACAGAATTTACGTGGTTCCGCAATTTGTCAACGTCTATTTTGCATAGTAGTAAACCAATAGATGAAATAAAAAATAGTATATGTTCTTTTTTTAATGCTAGCAAGCGAATTATCCGTGTCTATACACTAGTCTGATCTATTTATTGTTTGTGTTAATTAATCGTGTTATTTTTAAATTCATGTTGTGTTAGTCTCAATATCTTAACTATTGAAACCTTAAGAGTGGAACTAGTCTGGCTTCACATTCCAAAAAATGGAACCATTAATGTCGTTCTATTATGTAATGCTCTGCCACATACTTCTGTATGAGGATTCTTGTACTGCTGGTCTCCCACTAGTTTCCTAAATAGTTACCCCTGTTTTGGATTCACCTGAGAAGTAATAATGCTATTCTGCTCACTCCTCTATTTC